CGATGACTTCTCAATCGGTTCCAAACTTTTTTCAATTGATTGAAGAGCGTCTTAATGGTTTATAAGCTTAATTTCGACCAATGACGGAAAACCGTACACCGTTTTTTGTGCTGCTCTCAGTTCAACAAGCTGTCACTCTTTTCTAATTTATTGCGTTGCATGCAGCACTCCACTTAGTGATGGTGGCCCAAGTAATCAGATTCCTAGTGTATCTTCATGGGCGAACCGCTGTGTTGATGACCTGTATTGTTGTTTGTGGACCAAGCTGACGTGATCTTTACAGGACGTTGCCGAACTGAATGAAAACGCATCAGACGAGTCATCGGGTAAGACTGACATGTCCAGACGTTCAAAAGCCACAGCACTACAAAGCCCATCAGCGACGCCGTTCTTGTACAAAAAAAGTGGATCATCTTCTTGTTGCTAAGTAAAAAAAATTAGGGTGGAATACAAGCGCATATCTTGTGAATTTTCCAGCATCATTTTATCAAGCCTTAAACAACGAAATACCATTCTCTCCTGACCACGGTGAGTCCTGATCATACTTTTCTGTTTCTTTTACCTCTTTCCTGCAGGTTTTTGCTGTTAAAATGTACGGCCACTATTGGTGGATAATGCCATTGTTTGTGGCCATTTCAACATCTGGTTGTGTGAATGGAACCGTGATGACAACGTCTCGCATGTTTTTTGCAGCTAGTCAGCAAAATCAGATGCCAAAAATCCTGTCCTTTCTTCACGTGACCCATCTAACTCCCATTCCTTCCGTTGTGTTCACGGTGAGTCGAGGAAAATTGACGTGTTCAGTTCTACCTTCCACAAGAATGTCCAGGGAGATGTGTTCATGCCAAGAGTACGAGATGACTCGGTTCCAAATGCACCTGTATTAGGAGAAGTAGGCTTCTTTTCAGGAAAGGTATTTACAAGAAAATGACAACTTGGTCATCCTGTTTAAAAAATTTTGTTTAATGTACCATTTTTCATCCAAAACTAACACATTTACTTCTTACTTGGGGTGGCAATAACGAGTATCCAGTTAGAAAACTTTATTCGGACACCGACAACGCCATCATTGTCACTAAATCTGTGTGTGAATGATCCTCGGAGTAAGTTCATAGTTCAACTGTGGGGGACAAGAATCATCCGGATAAAAATAAATGATGAATTGGGACACCTATGTTGACAGATGAATGCATCAATATTTCATCGTGTTTTCTTCTTTTGCTGCCGCAAACCTGAACTAAAAAATATTAGATGAACCCTTTCGCCCTTGTTCAACCTTGGACGATTTAAAAAGTACCACTTTCTTCAACTTGGAGCAGATTTTGTGTAGAACCCTAACAGAAGAAGATGACAATGAAATATCAACTTGCCTAGCTCCAAAATGTAAGGGCTGTGAATAGGTTTCAGTGTGTTTCGGAATGCCCTCTGATGAGGCTCTTTGTTTAGAGTTGGAGTATGTGTAGTTGAAACTAGCATAGAAGAGTAGAAGTGTGGAAACCGAAGAGCAGCCTGCAATAGAAAGTACAGACACCGAAGAAACGCGGAGGATTACGGCTTTGTTTACTTTTCTCGTTCGTTTTCTGAAAGTTTCCTTTTTACACTGAGTAAATAAAAAATAAAGGCATCGTTTCATTTCGGGACTATCGGCAACTGTACACTTCTTAAAACCAGTTCTCGTTTAATGAATTAGCCTGAGAACTGGGCGTCCTATTCATCATGCACTTGTGATTTGTCTGGCCTTGACGTTTAATAAGTCTTTCAAAAAATCGGTGAGTTGTGCCTAGCTGCCATGCTATCAGGAGGAAACAAGAGGGCTGAGGTACTGCCAAGTTGCTTGAGCCTAGACAGGGTAGGTCGAGAGGCGGATGTCGGGTTCGAACCACGAACCTTACAGTCAGTAATTTCGCACTCTAACCACTGAGCCATCTCGCCCCCAACAGGCCTTTGGGAGGTTGTATAACATGAAGTTTGATGACATCCGAATTCGGCCAGCAGCTAACAATCTACGCTCATATTTAGATGACCGGTGCTACCATTGATGGTTACCATTTCAATCATATCGCTTGAAAAATTTTTCTATCATGACATTAGGGTAATAGTAACACAGTCCGCAGCAGAATTTTACACACTTCCCTCACTATGTTTGCAGTGTGCCGTGACCATCCTGTACATCGCCATTGGAGACATTGGCTGGCTGATATTATACTTGGGATTTGTGGAATGGCTGGTCATCGGGACCTCGGTGTTAACCGTCATTATTTTCCGCTTCACCAGGCCGACTGTGAAACACGAACCTTCAGTCAGTAATTTCGCACTCTAACCACTGAGCCATCTCGCCCCCAACAGGCCTTTGGGAGGTTGTATAACATGAAGTTTGATGACATCCGAATTCGGCCAGCAGCTAACAATCTACGCTCATATTTAGATGACCGGTGCTACCATTGATGGTTACCATTTCAATCATATCGCTTGAAAAATTTTTCTATCATGACATTAGGGTAATAGTAACACAGTCCGCAGCAGAATTTTACACACTTCCCTCACTATGTTTGCAGTGTGCCGTGACCATCCTGTACATCGCCATTGGAGACATTGGCTGGCTGATATTATACTTGGGATTTGTGGAATGGCTGGTCATCGGGACCTCGGTGTTAACCGTCATTATTTTCCGCTTCACCAGGCCGACTGTGAAACGTCCAGTAAAAGTGAGTGTATTGGCATGATTAAATATGCTGAATAAGTAGATGAGGTGACTCATACAAGTGCATCATACTGAGGAAGAGGTTTTAGAGGCAAAAAAACTTTGGCTTTCAATATGACTAACTTTGCTGAATCCGTAAAGCATAAAGTTTTGGGTTGTGGTTCTCTGTAGGTATTCTGCGGACGGTGATACAAACCTTCGTTATTGATAACCGATGGCAACAGCAGTACTCCCATCGGTCTAGTATGTCGCTCTAGTACGTTTATTACCCAAGCAATGAGTTCGACGTTTAATGACCAGCACTCGAAATGTGTGTACTGCTTCCCAAACAGAACGAACTCCATTGGCTGAAGTCAGTCTTACTACAAAACATTCCCTTCAGATGATCTCCGACCAGCAGTAGTGACATCATCATTAAGCACTAAGTTCGAGGTAAACAGACGTTCGCCATCAGACCATAAAGATTTGAGTGCTAGTGAATCCGCCTCATACATTTTCCGGACTGTCCTAACATTCTTTCAGGATCCCGTTTCAGGCTTTACATGTGGGATATGTGATTTTCTACACAGCAAGGAAAACGGAATAGTTGGTTTTACGTGCCTTTGGCTTTTGAGGCGTTAATAAATTCATCCACCATCTACATTAAGAACATCAAAATATTGAAAAATAGCACGCCAGCTATTGTTTAAACAGATGTAGGTTTCTAGCTTCATTTGCAGGCTTTTCTTCTAAAAGGATATGATTTAATTGCCTTCTGTATAACCTCCCTGTTATCCATGTAATATGGGCTTTCTGGTTGGGTTGACCGTATGAAGTAGCCGGTCATCGCAATAAGTGCTCTTTTGGGTCAAAATCGATTTGTTCGTGACCAGGCTTAGATCCAAACCATGATCTGAAGAATACACAACATGAATCTCTGCTAAAATCAGTACGACATTTAAAGGCTAATTTTTTTTATATTGAAGCATCATTTCAGCAAACAGCATACTACTCACAACGCTACTTCCGCAGCCCACTACCAGTTACGTTTTTTTCTGGAGTTCCTCATGTAGGCGCAGTCCCTGGGTTTCGATCAATCTTATGTTCTGCTTAAATAGCAAATTGTGCGTAGCTGGTGAAATGCATCCATATGCAAATTGCACTGGTGTCATCGGAAGATTCGGCTCAAGTTCGGATTTGTGATATTTTTCAACTGGGTGTAATGCACGAAGGGTGCCTCGTGTTTCAGTTGGCACGGTGTTCACGATGCCGGAGTTTGTTGTTCTTGATATAGCATGTTACTCATTGGGTTCCTGAGACTCATTCGGGAGTAGGTTACGTCATGAAGGATATCCCGGGATGACTTGAATTGTGCCAGATGTAACAGAAGGCAGTATTCGGCCAGTATTTTTTTCCTTTTGAGAATTTCATAAACGAGGAATTTGGTTGAGTTTCTCGTTACCATTACTGCAGTTTGCAAATGAGAGACTTCAGGTAGTTTGTCGAGATTCCAAGCTTTGAGAGGTAGTGTTCCAACCCGGTATCTCTCCATGCTCTGTTTACAAACATTGTGTGCTAAACTAGCGAAGAGCTAGCATAAAAGTGATCTCAATATGAGTACTTATTTTGGCTTCCGATTCTCGAAGTATCCGTTCATTAGCCCACCTGTTATACTCTCACAAGACGTCCCTAATCAGTCAACATCACCGAAAGTGATGATGCACCGTCTAGCTCAGTTCATCCTGCCATTGCTACTACTTGCTACAGAGTAGAGTACCATCTGATTTCCCCTGTAACTCAAGTGTAGAGAAGGATACATTTCAACTCACCTCGGGCTAATTCACGTCCTCACTTCCTCGCAAATAAGTGCGATGCCACAGTCCTTCTCCACCTCATTCAGTTCTATGTGCTCTCCTTAGAAGTCATCCCAAGGGGAACTGCCAGAACTCTAGATAAATCAGTGCTGAGAAGTTCGTCTTCTTGGTTGAGCTTCAATGACCCAAACTTATCCCTCTGCTCACTTATAGGTACCCGGCCAAAACTTGGCAGTGACAAAGCGAATACTACTTCGCTGACTGAATCAATTGATTTGATTATCGGGGTGTTTATATATATNAAACAATATATTTGTTTATTGGTGTGTTTATATATATATATATATATATATATATATATATATGTATAGTATGCGATCTTTGATAACAAAGATCAAGAGTATTCAGGCAACTAAGCACCAGCAATAGCTTTGCGAGTACTTTTTGAGATTGAATATCTAGTGAAAATGTCTCAAAAATGCGCCCGATGGGCTGGTTTGTCTTACGTTTAAGTTTAGTGACTTCTTGCTGGACAAGAGCTCATCTCCTGAGGATATAATAAGCTGGCTTTTGTAGTAATGCGTCTACGTTCTAGTCATTAATGATGTCAAGTCCAGCAGCACTGTATGATGACAGCGCAGTAAGATGTACGAAGGAAATGTGGTTACCTGATGAGGTTGGAAAGTATCTGTTCTGAAAATCAGTGAGCTGGAATTTGAATGCAAGCGTACTTAAACGTGGAGTTCATTCTTCTTCATTGGGGCATTCGCGTCAACGTCGTTCGACTATGAACAACACCTTTTCTAATTTGGATACCGAGTCATACTTTGGTTTACGATGTATGAGGACATTGATAGCTTGGGTGCGCTTATTATTGATTGCTCAGGTGACCGTCAGTCTCTTCTTCTAGCTTGGCATCGTTCAGCTGTAGAAACATTTCAGTGCCTAGCGACCATGCCACACGAAGGAGGCACGAGGGCTGAGATACTGCCTGCCAGCCCAAGCCTAGACAGGGGAAGTCGATAGACAGAGGTCGGGTTTGAACCACGGACCTTCCGGTCAGTAAACTCGCGCTCTAACCACTTCAGCCATCCCGCCTCCCGCTAGCTCGACAACTAGCTTGCAAATCTTTGGTTCCTAGTCAAGAGGATGTCATTAGTTCGCAGTTGAGTGGTTTGCCTTATGCCAATAGGAAACTCAACACATTCATTGGATTGCATCCACCAGTAAGTATAGCAGCATTCCCACTTAATAAACCATAATTTAGTTGCTAACCTCATGCTTACGAAAAACATGGATTTGATTTAAACATGTGGTCTGACATTGTGGGTAATCTAGGCAAGACCACTCCCCGCAGGGGCGACTTTTGTTCTGTCTCTTCAAGCTTCCAGCAAACTTTAATATTCTCGGATCATGTCAATCTGAATTACGATCAGGTGCGAAGAGCAGTTCGTTAGCTCTGCTTTCGGATGTAAAACCAAGCGTCTCTGTTTCCGAAGATTATCCACTGTAATTTCGTGAGTAGAGAAAGTGAAAGAATTGTTTTCTGCGCTTCAGTGGCCAACTTATTCTATTGCATGCATGTGATTGCGACATGTGATTAGAACAGTAATACAACGAATCATCAGCCACACCGGTCATTTTGCTTCTTCCGAGCCTGTCACACATGACACAGATTGAACTAGAAGCTGTTCGCATGTGATGCTTCACACTACAGGTTTGTGTGAAGCGCATATGTTGGAGTGCTCAAAAAATGCATTTGTAACACAACGTCAAAAGCTGCTGAGTACGTCGGATGATACCATAGCAAGACCACTGTTTTCACCATCCAGCGCAATTTCGCATACGTTTGGTGCCAAAATCGTCAGTGTGTTGCATCTGTCTTTCATCCGCAACATGGTATTCAGGTTATACATTCCGGTGCAGTACAGGTGATACTTTTAGGTTCTTGGAGTTTCACTCCAAAATTAAGATCCAGCTGAGTACATCCGTAAATGGAAATCGCCCCGACTTTCATGGGTAGCAGAACAAGCCGAAAATTTGCAAACTATGGTAGACTATTTCTTGAAATTTGGGGTACATTCATAGATTTTCACCTGGTATTGAAGAGGCATGAGGTCAGTCAGGCAAAATGAATGACGCTGCAGTCAGTTCAGTGACCCTGACTAAAACATTACAAAAAAAATGTGACGGTCAGCGTAAGCAAATAATCTGGAGATAGTAGACCTTTGGGTCATTACGGGGACCAAAGCAAACTACTCGAAATATAACCGAGGGTCCAATATGAAATCTTTCTGAAAAACTATTTTTCCGTTGTTTTTCTTCTCAAGACAAACTCACTTTCAGAAAGTAGCGTTTTTGGCTGCACACTGAGATTGGTCCCTTCGCAGAGGACATATCCATTGAAGGCACATTTTACAGGCGCTGCGATCCGTCATCACTCAAATATGCATTGCCGGTTTAACCGGGATTTTTAACGGGTAACAACTAAATCTACATAAAACCAAATGTGACCGACAAAAAGCAGACCGTTTCAGGTGGTGGAGAATTTTTGCCGCACTTATTTCTACATCATTGTTAGTATCAAAGACTAATTTTCTTGGGCTTCTTGACAAAAAGGAGCGGAGTCACGAAAGTTTATTACTCTAGGGTTATGAAAATATGCCAAATCACGTGACTTCAGGGAAAATTGGCTGCCGTGATTGCTTTGGCAAACGTCAATTAAGATGGTTTGAGGTGATTGGATCACGTGTAGTTGGAAGCATTCGTTGGACAGAGTCTGATGTTGGATAACCTAAGGCACACCTTGCTCCCACTGACATACTCATGGTTATTGCTATGCTTGCTGGGTATAGTCATGTGTGAATGTAGCTGGGTAATCCACACACCAATCTGGGAGTATGGATGAAAACATTTAAGTTACATTATGTCAAACCATGCTTTAAAGTGCCTGTTTTGCCTGAAAGCGTTGAACTTAGAATCAGTGGTTCACCTCCGTATGCTTGATAGAGAGGAGACTACGGTGTAACAAGGGGTTGCAACGAAATTTTTTGAAATGAGGCAAAACGTCCGTAGGTGAAGAATTTATTTTGATGAATGCCTGTATGACGGAATTATACTGCGTCACATACGTTCTAGGCGTGTGCTATCCATAACCAATATTCGACAACATCACTTGTCAAGCAATGAGACAGCTCAGCAAAAATTAATGCAGGAAGCTTCGGCATGAACCACGAATCCACATCTGATGACGCGCTTTTGGAGTGTCGGAATGGAGAAACCACTATTTCACGTTAAGGCCGAAAGGGAAAACACATACTGGTCTTCTCAGGAAAGCTTTCTTGATCCACGAACCAACAGCGTCTCTACCCTTCCCATGCGCCATCAACAGGAGCTGGAAGTTGGAAGATTTCGATCAGAGCACTGGGTACAGTTTTTCTTATTTTTCTATCAATATTGCTAATTACTGTACCAATAAATGACAGAAAATAAGTTTTAGGCGCTCATTTATAGGTAATTCGTCTCACAGACGGTTCTGAGCAAGCAAGCACCTTTTGTAGTATCAGTGAACTGGTCGTGTCACACAGAAACGAGCAACGTCCCTACTGCGGTATTATCTACGGTCTTACAGTCGTAATAGATAATGACATAGCATTTCGAAAAGTGTCCTTCTGATGTACACAGCGAAACGAAATGGAACTGAAATTTAAGAAAAATAACTGGAAAATACGTCAAACAATATGATACATTGATTCCTGGTTGAAGAGAAAATTTACTTAGCCAACCAAAACTGTTCCTCCTTGCTGCAATTCCTTTTGAAGTTTTTCATCCCTTTTTTAGTATGCGTGGCTAGAACTGTTCTGGCAGTCTTGAATATTTTCGTTTTTTTTAAACACTAGTCACTATAAGCCCTTTCGTGTAAAAAATCTCTCCTTATGACATATATCCATTGTGTATGCTGTTCCTTCGTTTATTGTTCACAAACTTCAAGCATCCAACAGGGTTCACCTGAAGTAGCAGTCACTTGTCGATGGCTTTGATGTTACAATGGGATGTTACCATTTCAGCCGAACCTTCAAATTTTCTACTGCCGACTACCGTTGCTGTTTACTCCTATCGTGATTTCCTTACCAGACATTCATTTTAGAATTGTTCACAGTTTTACAAGACGTCTTCTCCAGCACTCATTTATACTTTTGTATGACCTCATCGCTTTTGTCGTTCATGGAATGTTTAAAAGTCAGGTCACGTGAGGACGAAAGTCGATTGGTTTCTGCACGCACGTTTATACAGTTTAAAATTCAGTACATCAGTGAGTCTCTTAATTATAGGATCCACCGTTTGAACTCGACGTCTTAATGTCCTGTTCATTGCTCAGAATTGTTAAGTAATCCTTCTAGTCGGCTCAAGTCAGAATCTAGGGAACCCAGCAAAAAGAGGCACTTGTGAAGCTGTTGCAGTCTTTAACTCATCCCTCAACTGGCTCTGGAAGATTGCGACTGGAACGGGGATGAGTGTGGTTCCTGATCTTCAGATCGGCCAGCTGACGCCATGCGATAGAACGACACTCATTGCTAAAAGATGTGCATGGACCCCGTCATCAACAGTACGCTTACGGTGGCTTGTCAGTTTATAAGTGTTTTTAATCTATATGTAGCAATTCCCTTTATTTGGCTCCCTCGTTGAGGGTCTTTTGAATCCGTTTTACATCAGCTTGCTTTTACTTTCAAATTATGAACTGCATGTATTTTGATCAATTGTTCTGATAAACTTTCTTATCTTGCTGTCTAACTGCGCTTTTCCACCCTGAATCTGAAATAGGGATTTTGCAATTGGCATGTAAATTAGATTGTATTACACATTCCAACAAGGGTTCGAAATTGTAGTTATCTTTCATATAAGGAACATCAGCGTGAAGAAACCCAAAGTGTTCCTTTCAGGGGTGTGCTCTATGGATCAGGGCATGCGTCTATGAATAAAGTATTCCGCCTGTTGTGCTGCCTGTCTGTTCTGACCTAACTTACTAAGTCCGTAACCATCCTTACGTACTGCGCATGTAGTTATATGCCCCTCAGAAGAGTTTAAAAAGCATGTGACTAATTCACAAGGAGTACGTTTTCTAGAGGTACTGCATCAATCTCACTTCATACTTGAAGGGAACTCACTTCAACAATTTAGATATCGGCTCAGCACGATCGAGTGGGAAACAGCATGGATGAAGGATTATTTAAGTCTCTCACTGACACCAGCTGAATTCGCAAATGAGTGTTTGACCCTGTACTGACACGAAGTTACTTTTTATTTTCAGGTTCCAATTGTCTTCCCCTTCTTTTTCATGATTGTGAGCATTTTCCTCATCATTTTCACCTTCGTTGGGGCCCCGAGAGAAGCATGTGAGTTTACTCCGATACGCCGATACCTTGATCTGAATCATACAACAGTGACTTAACCAACATCGGAGCACACTGCGGTGACCTTCCCATAAAATAGCACGATCACAGAGAGAAAGGCTTGAAACGGACAGACAGTGAGCTGGTCGCGAATTTTATTGGCCTAAAATGGACAAGTACATCCGAAGAGAGGAGCCACTAATAAAATTGTAAAAAGAAAGAGTGCTTTAATATTCTTTTTGACTAGGATTTCCGTGAGTCTTGATGCCGATACTACGCTTAGTTACTCGACTTTCGTCAGGACCGTAGTCCTCGCGTCAAAACCTCAACATTTTCGACGTCTATTTTGTGTCCCGTGTCCAGTGCGTGTTCCGCAATTGCCGAGTCTTTTAGTAACACTTAATATTCATCCGCGTTTCTCGGCGACATGTCTATCTTTTCTACTATGCTCTTCGATTCTGGTGTGAAGTTCCCTGGCCGCCTGTCCTATATAGACCTTAGTGCAGTCGTTACACTTAATTTTGTAGACGCAGTCCTTGGTTCTGTTTGCCGGGAGGTGATCCTTCAATTGTAGCAGAGCAGAGCGCTGAGCGTTCCCCCTCTGAAAAGCTACTCTTATGTTAACCGTGTTTAGAATTCTTCGAGTGACCTCCTATATCCCTGGTTTATACCCTTACTGATGTCAGTTAAACGTATACCTGAAGCGATAAGTGGATCGATGGAGAATCGCCTTCTGTATGCTTTTTTTTTTACTTATAATGTCCTCTAGATAAACAGGCTACTGGACTGTGACGTGGAACAATTTACGCCTCTGCTCATGGAGACCAATCAAAGTC